GCTGGCACCTGATTTCTCAAAAGAAACTATGAAGGACAGAAGGGCTTGGCACAAAATATTTGATGTGATGAAGACCCAGAATCTAAAACCAAAAATACTTTATCCAGCAAAACTATCATTTAGAGTTGAAGGACAGATAAAGAGCTTCCCAGACAAAAATAAGCTAAAGGAATTTATCACCACCAAGACAGTATTACAGGACAGGTTGGAGGGACTTCTTTAAGAAGAGAAAACACGTATCAAAAACAAGAATAAAGAATGGGAATAACTACGCATCTATCAATAAGTACCTCAAGTGGAAAAGAATTAATTACTCTAACCAAAAGATAGAGTGACCGAATGGATAAGTAAACAAGACCCATACATATGCTATCTACAAAAAACTCACTTCAGATTAAAAGACGCACAGAGACTAAAAGGAAGGGGATGGAAAAAGATATTGCTTTGATGGACCTAGAAGGTATTTAAGTCAGACAGAGAAAGATAAACACGATATGATTTCACTTATATGCAGAATCTAAGGAATAAAAAGAACAAACAAAAATAAAATAGACTCACAAATAGTAGACAATTTGGTGACGGAAAGAGGGGAGGGGAGTTTGGGGGGCTGGGAGAATTGGGTGAAGGGTTAAAGAAAGTTAGTGGCTGGGGGGCTGGGAGAATTGGGTGAAGGGTTAAAGAAATACAAGTTAGTGGCTGATGTATGGTCACAGGGATGGGGAGCATGGCAGAGGAAATGCAGTTAGTATTAATACGTTGGCTAGGTGGAGTGTCGGGGAGGGAGGGAGCAATTGGGGGGATCATTTTACAAACTATATAAATGTCTAACCAATGTACTCTATACTTGAAACTAATTAAAATAAATTTTTAAAAAAGTAGAACATATGGAATGGAAGACTGTAATAAGTGCTATGGAGAAAAGTAAAGCAAGACAGGAGCTAGATAGCGCTGAGGTTTGCAATTTGGGATCAGAGAGGGCCTCGCAGAGGTGCCATTTGAGCAAAGACCTAAAGAATGGGAGGAGACAGGTATGTGGCTATCTGGAGCTTTTTAGATGTAGGAGGGTTTCCCTACTTCAGCCCTACTGACATTTGGGGCTGAATGATTTTTTATTGGGTGGGGGGCTGTCTTGTACATTGTAGTATGTTTAGCAGCAATCCCTGGCCACTACTCACTAGATGCCAGTAGTGGGTAACATCTACTATCCCAGTTGTGACCTTCTGTCTGACATCTGAAGATGTCGCCAGACATTGGCACATATCCTGTAGGGGCCTAAAATCACTGTTGGTTAAGAACCACTAAGATAGAAGAAAAGTGAAAGCTGTGGGGAGGAGGAACTAGGGGAATAGGGAGGACAATGGGGACTCAGCTTGTTTGAAGCACAGCAGGGAGGCAGGTAGTAGATGAAATTAGGAGGGAGAGGGATGAACCACATCTCCTGTAACTTTGAGGCCACTCTAGGCATATCATATCAGAAGCCATTTGAGGGAAGGGCAAAAAGATAACACAACTTGACCCACATTTTTAAACCATCCAATTGGCTGCCACATCGAGAATTGACTGTAGGTGGAAAGACAGAAATGAACAGCACGGTTGGGAGGCTATCACAATAATCCCATTCATTTTTAATTTGGTTTAATTTAAATTGTTCACTCATTTGGCTGGATGGTGGTGGGAGCGCTGAGAGACTTGAGCTAAGAAGCTCTGGGGAAGAAAAGAGGAAGAATTAACGTAAAAGGAAAAAGCTAGGAGTGGGTAAGATGTTTTGCGGAAGTGGAGGGCAATATGGTGATTAAGTCCATTTGAAAGAACAGAGAAGTTGTGTAGGAAAAAGAAAGACTGTTGGTGACTAGTTCGTGTGCAGGATCAGTGAATACCAAGCGAAGGAATCGGAGCTCTCGTCTATAATTAATGGAGTGCCTTTGAAGCTTCAGCAATCAGAAAAACTTTTTAGTAGTGTACAGATCATAGTAGTCAGAAACAATAGGTTTCAAAGTAGTCTCATGAAATAATACGGGTGGGAAATAACAAGAGCCTAGGTTTAGGTGGAGAGCGCGAGCACAGCATTCTGAAGGAAGTAAAGTGAAGTCCTGCCCTACAGCTTGCAATGACCTTCTTCAGGGTACTCTTGCTTGCAGGCAAGTGCAAACTGTTGTCTCCGTTGAGGAGTTTTGGAAACGTTTCCATTATATCAGACATCAAGCAAATTCAAGCCCACCATGAAAAGGTTTAAGTAGTGCAGTACTTTCTTGGAAAAGGTGTCCCCCAGAGGAGGTTGAGTTAGGTTTCAAGGGTCTTTTTAAAAAACACTATCATCTGTAGGTGAGAAAAGCTATGGCAACTAAGAAAAGAGCTGGTCTGCAACCAGAGTTCCTTCAGGATGGTTATACATGTCAATATTTAGATTTAAAATGTCTCAGCAGGTTGAGCACGGCAGTGTAGGTCCATCGAATCAGTCCCACTACACTGCAGGCAGGAGCAAGGGCGCTCGCCTCTTTTTCCATCTGCTTTTTTGCATTAGCCGGATTAGCCCGAGTCATCAGCCTTTTTTTTTTTTTTACCCTCAAAGGACTAAGGCTGTTTGTTAACAGACGCGGAGGGCGATCGCTCAGCCGGGAGCCGCTGCAGGTCCCGCCACCTCGCAGCTGCGGGGGGCTGCACAGGCCCAGACGCCGCCCCAGGTGTGGCTCTGGCAGCGGAGCTCGCGCGGGGGGAGGGGGGGCGGGGG